GATGGCAATCGAGAAATTGATCTTGATGAGTTAATTAATGAAAGAATGAAATTCAATAAAGAATTAGATAAAATAGAATTATTATGACTGAAAAACAAAAATTTAAAGAATTCCTCCAAAAAATTGAAGACCCTAATTATGAGGAGGAAGTAAATTATGACTTGCCAGAAAATGCCACTCCATTAGAGCAGGTTAAATATGATATCTGCCAGGCTATTTTGGCCTATCAGCAAGATAATAAATTGCTGGTTGAGGAAGTGGCTCGGCAGATTAAATTGACTGTCCCTGAAACCAAAGACATTTTTTTTGCCAAAATTAATAATTTTACCTTGGATCGTCTAATTATTTATGCCGGCCGGTTATTTTCTCCCCAAGAAATTAAAGTAGTAGTAGGAGACAAAGCCCTGAAAAATCTTGGTCATTATGCCTAGTGGATTTTCTTTTTTGCGAGAATACCAAGTAGGTAAGGAAACAGTTTGAGAATATTCTTGCTCTTTCTCATTCAACCGCCAAGAGATAGAAGCCATTACTATTACTGATTACTGGTTAACTAAACCCGGACGAGAAAAAATTACTAAAGAATTAATTTGTCAATTAGTAGGGAAGTTGGACAAAAAAAGATTGTGACCCACTAGTTATTCCGGTTTTCGACAACCTTTCATTTTTGAAACCACTCACCAAAACAAGCACTATCGCTTGTATTTTTGATTTAAAGACAGAACTAATAATCATTTATGAATTAGAAATTGTCATCGGATAGATTAATTTTTGTTGGTAGTATTCTTTTATTTCTTGTCTTCTACTAAATCTCTAATGAGTTTTTCTCAGTTTTCTGCTTTATCGCTATATCAGCCGATGAGAGTTTTGTTATCCATCAATATAACTAAAATGCCTACTTTTTTTGATAAGGACTAACCTCAATTTGTTCTTCGTATTGTTCATCTTTTACTTGGCTCTCTGCTTCTTTAACCTTACCTTTTGAATTATTATTTTCTACCATTTCCCGTGACAACTTCCCCTCACAAATCTCTTCTCAGCAGTAAATAGGAGTAGTTAAATAAAGTTTGGTGCGAAAAACACAATTTTTAGCACATTCACAAGTAGCAGTCCAACTTTGATTAACTTTGGAACCCAAGTTTAAATTCTTAATCTGCTGACTGAACAAAACAACGTTGGTTTTAATTAACTGTTGGCTGATATCATGATTTTTTTGCTCAACTTCCCTTAACTCCTTTTTCAAATCGATTATTTTTTCCTTTAATAACCCTTTTTCCTCATCAGTGTCGGTAAGTAGAAGCAAATCATTTTGATGCTGAGATAACTCTTTCTTAATTTGTTGGCAATGAATTTCGATTTCTTTTAGTTCAACTGCCAATTCATTCTTTTTTTGTTCCAATTGTTCTCGTTCTTTCTTTCTTTGGGCTAATTTCTTTTCTAAAGCAGTTGGCTGGGTTTCTGATTTTGTTGATTTTGTTTCTTCATCTTTTTCTTCACCAATCGAACCTTTTTTATATTTAATTACTTCTTTTTCTAAGGCCTTAATGGCTCGTTCAATGGCCTCTATTTTATCTAATTCTTTATTGAATTTCATTCTTTCATTAATTAACTCATCAAGATCAATTTCTCGATTGCCATC